AGATTATTTCGGTTTAAGTTGGGTGGGAAAAGTACGTAAGTGGCCGGGAAACACATATCGTTACCGTTGCATTAGCTCACAACACGTTTCAACAATTGTCATGAAAGTCCGCAGTGATGAATTTGTTAAAGATTTATCAAAATGTACACCTAACCCAAGCACGCGTTGAGATGCGTATTATCTCATTAGGAGGGGCACATTTTTTACGCAAAACTTGTAGCAGCAAATGAATAAGGACAATATTGTTATTTGTAGGTACAACACTTTTTACTACAAAAATGGCAATGTACCATAATGCCATTCACTCCAGTGGCCTGACCCCCTCTCAGCGAGTCTATCATCATCGAAATAGAGCTAAAGTTACGTAAGCGCGTATAGTGAGCGACGATACCTTTATTGGATTATTCTTGTAGGATTATACATTATCACCCGAGATGTTTGGGATGTACAGTAAATGCAGAACTTGTCCGACCAAAAAAGAGCTCCGCTAATCCTGTATCTGTCGATGTTTACACAAGTTTTATATGCGATACGTTTACGGAATCAGGCCCGTGATATAATATTGTTTCGCGTAGTGCAAAATATAAATTTCAAAGTATGTAACACCAACTCGGTCTCTTTAACTGACGTGCAAGTTAAACGGAAAAAATTATTTTACATCGCAAAATGATACAATTCAAGTACAACATGTCGTAAAATTTCATACCGATTGTAAACCTTTTCTTACAGTTACGTTATTTTGTAGCAAAAAAAAAAAAAAAAAAAAAAAAAAAAAAAAAAGTAAATAAAAACACTCCATAGCCTATACGCAACGCCCTCGTTAAGTTTTTTTGTTCCTCTTCCCTCCATTAAAAAAATTCGAGCCCAGCGACTCGCACGAGCGAAGGCCTCGATTAAAAGTAAATCGCCCTTCACCCAAAAACTTACGCAACGCGCCGCAATACACGCCACTTACATACGGGCTTACATACGGCAAATGCATACACGCAACGGTGCGCATGAAAAATCAATCAGAGGCATCTTCGGGATCGAGCTACATACATTTATGTATACCTTGTACAAAGAAAATAGAGAACTCGTCCTGTGTATAATTAAAAGCAAAGCGAGAAAAATCGAGTCTCGTGCAACGAAAAGAAGAACATACGTAGGTATTATATACTTACGTGCACATCTACCCGCTCTCGCACTAAGTGGTCAAGTTCTCTTTCTCTCTCTGTCCCGTGTATATAATAAACCCGCAGGGGCCCTATCCTCTAAGTGTAGTAACACACCCCTGACACCAGGCCAACACAGTCAATTTCGACCAATCAGAGAGCTCCTTTAGCTGTGTATTGGCTATGTCGCCTGCCAACACGTTTAGAGGATAGGGCCCCAGGCGCTCATCTATATAAGTATTCAAAACACTGCATAAGGGAGCAAGAGGCAACACCGGACGCGCTCATTCGTAGTGATGTAGCTGTGAGTACTTACATGTACAACTCATTCACTTATGTGTACGTGTAATAGAACCGCTTGCCGTGGATATTGGAATACAGATGGGATGAGTCATCAGAGATACACACACACGCACGTATATATACATACCCCAACGTAAGTATACGCGCGAGCGTTAATTGACGGGCCGATGACTCTTGTGAGTTCAACGAGAGCAACGCGTATGGTATATGTATAAATGAAAGGAAAATCTGTCGGATCGCGGTATGAAGAAAAATTGGGTACATTGGCGATGAAAAAAAAAACGTGAGTATTAGGTATATATGGTTGCGAGCCGATAAATCATCTGAAAATCAGATCGCGCGCATTGATACGGTTGAATTACGATAACGCGATACGAGATTTGTAGGATATCGTTATGCAAAGTTGAGAAATCTCGTTAAGGAGTAACGATAATCACCTGGCAGTGTTAATCGCGTATTTTTTTTTTTTTTTTTTTCCTCTCTTACAGCCATATGTTTTACCACATTATTGATGAAAAAAAAAAAGTTGTGAAACTTGAGCGAACGAGTTGGAAAGTTAAGTGCAGAAGTATATCTTATGCGTAACGACGACAGCCAACGATTTTTCTTGGAACGTTTGGAACGACGGGGCATTTGAATAGTGCGCGCGCGTTGGTTAGATTTTTCGTTGAAACAAACGTCGAACAATTAGAAAAGTCAAAAAACATCCAGACACCTCGTTCGCGGGTTTCGCAACTTTCTCAATGTACCTTAGGCGGTCTCGGCTATACAGTATATAACGAACGGCTATTAAAAAATTACACGCCGTTAATAGTAAATTTTACAACCGTAATTCGACGTGAAAGCGTTATTATATATATTTAGATACGAAAAAAAGAACAGAGTTTTACCTGTTCTATACGTAAGACTCTTGGCTACGCGTGTATTATACGTACGGGGAGAGAAATAGAGATGAATATCGGATTGTTAATAATAGGAAATGAAAGCCATTAGAGGGCCGCCGGCGCATGTGATGCTTTTCTCTCGTTTCCTCTGCGCGCGCGCGTGTGCGTGGCGCTATTTACTTTAATTCGAACGGCTCGTCTTGTAATATGAATTCTTTTTATTTATTTTTTTTTCCATGCTCTTGTACGTCCGCGTTGCTCTGTATAGCTGTGTGTATAATTGGATTGAAAACGAAAATCGACTCCTGGTAATGTTAGAGCCGGCAGAGCCGGTTTCTCATCGACTCCTTCATGATCCAGAGATGCTTTTCGAGACTTCGTTCTCGACCACTTGTGCCGGCTTTTTTCTTAAGCTCAATTTTTTTTCCATTCCCATCCAGTTTCTTTGTAGCTTTTGATGCAAGATAATTGTTGCACAAACATAATAATTACCCGCGCATTACGTAATGGCTTTAGAAAACTTGTTTTCAGCTCGTATACACTATATGAATGAATCCAAGCGTGATATTCCCTGTTCTCGATTCTGTTGGCCGTGTGGGTCCGATTGTCGTGGCTTGACTCATAGCCTTAACCTCCAATTACTCGATTTTGTCGCCACTTTATTTAACGAGTCTGCAAGATGTACTTTATTTTTTAAGGCTCTATTGAAAAGATGGGAGCATCAAGCGCTGGTAGCTACAATTTTTGGTTACGACAGTGACAGGCGGTGTGTAAGCATGTGCAAAAATTATATTACATCATACTTTTTCGATTTCTTCAAAAAATATTGTTAATATTTCCTTAGCTTCGTGAAATTCTCAAAAATTTAGATTGAAGCTAAAAACTCCTCAGCCCTGTCTATAGAATCATACATATTTCGAACGTATATTCACCCTTCAAGGAGTAAAAAATTTGTGTCAGCTTTGCAGGAAAAACAGTTTGATTTAACAAAACTAGTTGAACGATGGATAAGCCAGCAGCTTTGTTGTTTTCAAAACGCTCATTAAATCATTACTTCCATAGCATTTTAAACAAGTAGCAATTCCCACGACACGCTCCGAAGGTGTTATTTTCACACACTTGAATTTGCACTGATGTGCCTAAACCCGTTGGTCAATTAAGCCACAGGTTCATTATAATCGTCTCCCAAATCCCAACATACTCGGGTACGAAAGAGTATACACACACATACCAAAGTCCACTTACGTATGGACTAAGTAGATACATTCGAGTGCTGTTTCAAACAACAGCTCTCGATTTCTCTCTGCCATTGTCTACCCACGGCACAGAGCAACAACAGCACAAAGATTCCCAGATCGGAGAGTATAGTCGAGCCGCAGGATCCCTCTCTTCTCGCCCCATTACTCGCAACGAGCTAATTCGCCGCAATTTTCGGAATCGTGATTGCAATTAAGTCCCTGATGCGCGTCTGTACGAAATGAAAAAAAAAACAACACAACCGGAATCTAACAAACAAACACGGACGCATCAATTTCCACCTATACGCTCGAACTTGAGGTCTCACTCGATGGGTGGGCGCCTTCGGACAACTCTCCCGGAGAGCTCACCTTTCCCATGGCGCGCCAGCACGTACACACTTTTTTGGGGGGGGTTCTCTGGTTTCCCATCCGTGCACACCCACCTCTTTCTCCCTCGCGCCGTCTCCTCCTGCCCCTCAACCTATATATATATACACGAGACTCCCGCAGCCTCCGAAGCGAAAGCGACAGGTGTTTCGCCCCTCACGAAAATCAACGAGGGCACGATCGATTACCCCTCCCGGCTGCACCTCTTTCTCGCGCCGAATAATCGGAAATCGGGCCGCTTGCACGTTTGTGCACTGGTACACGAACATTTTCGCGAGGTCCTCTAATTGGGGGAAGAGGGGGGGACTCTTGCTCGTGCATCGTAAAAGTGTTGCAGCGCTCCCGATACCCAAGATCGCTTTTTGTGCACCGCGTGCATGGGATCGCAGTTGCTCCTTGGGGCGTATTCAGCCCCCAATTCCAGAAATACGACGGATAGAGGAGTAATCCCGTACCCTTTATACTCCCTTATTCGCGGAATCATCGCGTTATCTCGTCCACAACAATGTGCAGCGTTGGATGCAACCGCGTATATTCTCGTGTTCCGAGAAATTATTGTCAACACGTATACCCAAGTGTATCAAAGACGCTTGTTCTCGGAAGGTCACGCGTATACTAGATTCATGCACCGCGTAAATGGACACTAATAACTTCATCCTGTCCAGGGATTTTTCGCGTGGGAATTGAGGCCTTCAACCCGGGGAGAAGGGATAACGAACCTCGAAGGAGCCGTCACCGCAAAAGAAAAAAAAAAAAACACCGGCCTCTTTGCCCCGGAATATAATACCAAATTGGCTGGTAGTATACAATATCGAAAGCCGCAGCGCGTCGTCGTTCCTGGCGTGCTTCCGCAAAACAATTTGCCCTCCCGTACCCGGTACCGCGAGCCTTCAAAGCCAACCTCGTATACTGTCAAGAAAGACACAAAAAACAAAAACAAAAAAAACCAAATTCCCGGGTCCAATCAACCGATGCGGCGCGGGAGAAAAAAACAAGACAACATAACCAACGAGCGGTGTCCGATGGGTTTTCAGGTCCGGAATGTTCAAGCGGTTGACGACCAAGGCCAGGCGCCACAGCGCCGAGGACGCGGGGGTGCTGCCGAACCCTCTGACACTGGACGAGCCGCCGGGGGTCCGCAGGATCTCCGAGGTCACTTTGGGCTACTCGTCGAGGGCCAGGTTGGCGCGGAAGAGCTGCGGAGATGCCTACTCGCCCCTGCGCCCGGCTAAGGAAGAGCCCGAGGGGGAGGCTGATGCCAAGAGCTCGGACTACAGGCTCGTCACCGCCGTGCCGGCCTACATCGTCGAGCACGAGCCTGAGAAGCAGAAAGGTGGGTGTTTTTACTCCAACATTCCTTTAGGCAGTTTTTTTTGTTCAATGTCATTGTATAGTGCATTAGTTTTTGGAAACCTACGATACATGCATTTTCACTTAGGTTTTCGTACCTAAAGTACACCCAGTAGTACATACTAAGCAAATCCCAATTGATGCATGGTTGTACTCGTAAAAATGTCCATCTCTGTCGCGCTGACTGTTTTTGAGCGAAAATGGCATCAAAAAATCATACTCGCTTTCATGGAGTATGAGAGATAATACGAATCTCTCTACCCGTCCGGAAGAAGGGCAAGAGTGTATTAACCATAGTTTATTTATTTGCGACACCATATTTTGGCGAAGAGTACAATCAGCATCGTCGCAGTCAAGTTTTTTACAGTCAACCCACGTTTACACTTAAGTTCGGTAATACAACAATACCTTTTTACCTACATGATCATCAAAAGTATTGGGTTTCCTGATAAAGTTTTTGCTATATCGATAACCCAGATTATTAATTTACTCACCATTCATTTACCAAACATAAGTGTGCAAAATTGATTGTACTGACTCTCGATAGTTAAGAAAAAAATAAGTTTTCACAAGTATCTTCATTTGCTTGGATGTCTCAAGAAATTGCACTTCGGGCACGACATTGCAATTACAACGCCCAAGTGATTATGTAGGGCTTGTATGACGTCGCAAGTATAAAATCGATCGTTTTGGGGCATAGGTTGACGATGAATTTCAAACGAGAGATGAGCCAATCTCATGTGGGTCGAATGAGGAACTGAACCAACAAGGGATAAATATGAAATAACAAATAACTAAAAAATTCTCGAAATAATTATTTTCAAAGCACTCCGTGAGTATAAATACAAGTAACTAATTGGGACTGATTATATTTTCCCGACAAAACCTCAAACGTTGTAAGTACCAACAAGTTGGCCTGTATATGTTGCACAACTCTGTATATAATGTAATATATACAGGATGCATCAATTGCAGGACAATAATTGTCGTAAAAGAAAAATAGAGACGAGACTCGGACGCGCCGTTACACATGTAACGAGTTGGCTAAGGCGGTCCGTGTAGTCTACAAACCTATGCACGCCTTGATACCTCCGCTAATCGCGTGGCCGTTACATTAAATCGTCTTGCACGTGGAAGTTTTCCGCGTTTCGTTTTCCCTTCACAAAACCATCACGCCTTTGTATTTATGTTTGTTTCTTTTTTTTTTTTTTTTTTTTTCCTTCGCACGAGGAGGAGTAGGTACCGCTCGGCGCGCTTTCGTCCCCAATATACTATAGCTGCAGTTCCGCGATTTCGAGCCGGTCTCGTTATGCTTTGTTTACATTGCGCCGATACAAAGCCCTTGCTCTCTTAAAATACACTCGACGTGTGGTGCAGCTTCGCGTTTCGTGCTTTGGTATCGTATATTTTAATGCTTCGTTTTGTTTTTATCCGACGCTCGAGTGCGAGTGAAAGGCGCCCCGCGGACTTGGATTTAATGGTATTATACCCTCGTAATAAAAATTCGAGCTGAATTTTATACCTCGATGGTAAAAATTCTCGTTACGATTACATCGCTCATCGGGCCTTTTTTTATTTTTTTTATTTTTGTTTGGCGTGAAAACTTTTAACAATCCCAAGAGGGTTGGTGTTGCAAGAGCCGCGTATTATGCGACCTTCGAGAATGCGTTGTACACTTTTTTTACCACAAGTACAAGTAATTGCGTATTTCTCCAATGCTATGGTCTTTTTTTGCCCTAAATGGGGATCCAAGATCGCCGCGCGAGCTGCAGCCGTGGTAAGACGTACAGTGGCAACGCGGCGATGCTGCGACGGGGGATAGAAGAAAATAAGCTTATAATAATTATCATCGCATCGGCGAGTTCGAGTGACCCACATAGTCACGCGTCATTGAAAGCCTTACCTATTGGCGGTACGTTTCTTTGGCCGAACGAGAGACGAGTATGTATAAGGGGACGTGCGTGCAGTGAAAGAAAAAAAAGGATTAAAAAAAAAAAAAAAAAAAAGTAGCAACAAGAGAGCGTCATCTCTGTCGTATAGCAACAGTGTACTTACTTTAGTGACTACTGACACCATTACCGAAGCATCTCAGCTTTTGTGATTACGCTCAGCCACGCGTGTGCCATAAACATTTTTATATGTATACCAATATTGGACGCAATCTTACTCCTTTACGTACCGATTTGACATTTTCAGATGTTACCAAATATGATGTTTTTCTCAAATTTATCTTATGCCTACATTTATATCTGAATTGTAACTTGTTTCAAAGTAATTTGCTACGAAACTGTATTCCATACTACGGAAAGAGGGGGGTGCACATGACACTCGTTTTTTTTCAAGTTCATCCGGATCTGGATGTACTCAGCTGTCGAACCTTTTATTTCAATACGACGGTGATACAGTTACTCTTAGAAATTTCTCTTATTTGTAAAATGCATGGCTATATTGTTAGTAAGAATTGCAACAGTCACTAAAATAGTTGGTGCACCAACTATTTAATGTAGCTCTACGCAACAAAGCACTTTTTAAGTAAAATAATCAATGTTGATCTCGACTTTCATACTCGGGCTGTAGAATGCAAAACTTGGCCGTCACAGATTTAACGGGCTTACGAGTGCGTTAAAACTGTGTACAGAAATGTTTTACTCTCTACAGCCTTTTTATATTAATCGTTGAAGACAACAAATTCTTCAGATCAATAGAATGGACGATACAGTTTTTTATTGAGACATTTATCAACACTACTGTAGTGCAACTTTATAAGAAAACGATAGTTACAACTATCGACACTTGGAATGTGTAATTCAAATGATATGTTATTTTTAAAAATACAATAATTCGATTTTATTCGTAACAAACCACCACCCTCCACAGCGAGAAAAAATAATAAAAATTACTGGGTAGAAGCTGTTTATTAACTGTTTGCACAATAAAAATTACTGCCCAGAATAGTGAATGTTAGGTTGGCGAAAGTAGAAAGTCCTCAGAAAGCAGAATGACATCGGATTACCAATCTGGGACAGCAATTTTTACTTATTTTGTTCTCTCAGTGTAGTCTTAAGGCAGGTTTAAAAGGGCGATTGTTCTACGTATTCGTGCTTTGTGAGAAAAGAATCGTGTTCATATATAGATGTACTAAAAATGTCCATTTAAGATAGAATTGATTTAGATTATCAGCCATCATCCTTTGCTCGTTATAAAACTTAGTATCTAGCCCAATTGCAGTACGTTAACTCAGGTGTAGACGTCAAGCAAGTAAACCCAATGTTTGTTGCGTTCTTTCATTGTCCTTTTGAACCACAGCTCCAAGAATCGTGAATAGCTAAAAAAAGATTGTTGGAATTACAATGTCCCAGTATAAAGTCGATCGAAAAAGATATAGTCTCACGTTTAGATTAGTCCTACAAATTAGTTTGATGATTTCCCTCTCTCTCAATGAGTATACGAGTAAGGATAAACACAAAAAAAAAAAAAAAAGAAAAAAACCACCGGATGAAACGTTGTAGTCTAACGAAATGCGCCTGGTGTGCTTCGCAGGCCTGGGAGTCTGGGGACTGCGGCGGATGAGCAAAAAGATCGACTCGTTCCGTCGGTCCAGCTCACGGGAGGCCATCGGCACGATTCCCGAGCGCCCGGACAGCTCCTCCAAAACCCCCGAAGCCAACAACCGCGATGACAGCAACAAGCCCTCGACACCCAACGGCACCTCGGACAAGAAGCCCACGGCTTTCGAGCGGAGGTTCTTCCAAAACAGCAGCGCCACGAGCACGAGGTCGCCCTCACCCTTCAAGTCCTTCTTCATCCGCATGGGCTCGACAGGGATGCTCAACTCGTCGTCGTCGTCATCGAGCAAGGGCAGGCGCTCCTCGCAGACGAACCTCGAGGACAAGCTCCTGCACGAGCGCGGCTCCGACAAGGAGAACCTCTTCAGGAGCTGCAGCACCAGCCAGCTCAACACCAGTCCTACGTATGTCAAGGGTGACGACCCGTCCGAGGGTATAGACCTGCGGATGCTGGGAGCCAGGAGCGAGCACGGCAAGAAGACGGTCTCGTGCGACAACCTCAGTGGCCGGCACCCCGTAGAGGATGAGGACGTCTTCGAGGAGCAGCCAAGGACCCCCAGCGCCACCGGTGTCCGGACCTTTGCACCGTACGACTACGCGGAACCCGGTGGCAATGGCGGGGCTGTCAGGACGGACTTTATGAGGAAGTCGAGTAGCTGCGACTTCAAGGAGGCCAAGAAAAACAGCTTCCCGTACGCCTTCCTGAGGTCCAGGCTCTCGGTCCTCCCGGAGGAGAGGAACAGCAACGGCAGCGGTGGTGGTTGCGGCCCAACCAACAAACAGGACGACCACCGATTGTTCAAGACGGCCTCGGAGGAGCACTTCCCGGCAATGAAGATCGAGGAGACGTTCGAGGGGACGACGACACTGGATAGACGGCGGACGTCCAAGAGGAACGGCTACGGGAGCAGGGACTACTCGCTGCGGTACGGGCTCCAGGATCACGTGGGCTCGAGGTCGGCCAGGAACTCGTACTCGAACGACGAGTACGCGAGGGACCACGAGTTTGCCCAACGCTACGAGCCCAAAGACAGCAGGTACTTCAGCAGTAGCAGCACCAGCCTGCAGATTCTCGAGGACGGCTACCACAGGAACTCGGTGTCCCTGCCTTACCAACAGCCGGACAGTATGACGGAGCTGCGAGGTACAGCGGTGGTGGCAGCCACGGTGGTGGCCGAGTCAACGACGTCGGTGAACTTAGATCTGAGCTACGAGTCGACGGGCTCGTCGATGCTCAGGAGCAACCACCAGCGAAGGAATTCGGTGCCGAGCAACGCCGAGCAGCGCCTGTCCTCGCACTACGTCAGCTCTAACGAGTCGGGGTACGACAGCGACGGCCCGCGAGGCGAGTCCGCGGCCTCGGAGAGCCTCAAGTGCACCGACAGCTCCGACACGAGCAGCGTCGTCGACTCGGAAATCGAGATCAAGCCGATGCGCAGCTCGACGCCCAGCGAGTACAACCACCACCACCACCAGGAGGCGCTGCGGGAGCCCAAGGAGTTGCAGACCACCGACGGTGTCAAGCATTCGTATCTGATGGAGGAGCGGACTTCGGATGGTTGCAGTATCGCCGACGCCCTCAGGTGGCACCAGAGCTCGTCTGGGCGGCTGCTGCCCAGCATCCACCAGAGCAACTCTTCGAGCTCGCCGTCCATCTCGCCCTCGTCGTCCTCCATCTCCTCCTCTTCGTCCTCCGATTTGGCGAAGGTGACGGATACGCTCGCGATCCAGACGACCGCGCACAGGGTCAGGCTGCAGCAGGACAAAACGAGGTTCCTCACCGACATTATCCGGCCGGCCAAGCGGGTGCGCCGGTGCCGGCTGATACAGCTCAACAGGGTCGAGCCGCACGAGGGCTTGGGCATCAGGTTGGCGCAACAGCGGCTCGGTGAGCTGCGTTACGTCGTCGTTCAGCTGGAGAGTGACGGTATCGCGCACAGGTGAGTGGCTTTTTTTCAACAATTTCACCTTGAGAACCTGTTTCTGTTTTTCACGCTAACTTCCCAAGCGGAAATGATTTTGTTTAAAAAGTTGGTAATAATTATTTTTTTTAATTAGAAGTTAATATAATGACATAGTAAGAGTTTTTAATGTCTAGATTTGAGACAAGTAATAAGGCTTACTATTTACAATTGTTTGTTACAAGTTATTATTAAAACTTGTTGATACCTATTATTGGTTATTATTTTTTTTGTTCGCGAAATCAAACGGTACAACTGTGCCCGTAAAATTGTTATTTTTTATTATTATTATTATTTTTTTTTCCCATCTGATATGAAGTATAAAACAATAAAAATAATCTATTATTAACAATTATTAATAGCTATTAGTTTTGGACAAATCTTAAAAGTCAAGTATTGAACAATGATTATTAATCATAAAAGTTGTTTCTAGTTGCTACTTTTTCGATGTTTCTATAGTGATATTCGTGACGAAAAAAAAGAAATAATGAAAGATAATTACTAATAACAACACTCATTAAACTTAATTATAGTCTCAAATCTGAACTTTGTAAAATATTATTATTAATTACTTAATGACAAAAAAATTTTCGGCTTAGGTTTGATGCCATTTTTGCGTGGGTTTGAAAAATTGTATTGGCCAGGTTATTGGTACCAGTATAATAAGAGTTCACACTGTTCATGATTCGTACATGTCATGTCGAAGATTGTATGAAACAAGTTTCACTAATTTCTCAATACTACGTCACTCACTGTAAAATCCAAGTGTGTTTAAGTACACGTTTGAAACGTGTAGTTAAAATTTATATTTTTACAAAACGGATTACAGTAGTCTTGATAAACATTTTAAAAACAACTAAATCGATGCTTCTTCAACTATTTCGCCAAACTCGTTGAACTAAATAATTTTTTTTCTTTAAAGATTGATAATAGAAGTTAGTAGAGAGTAAAATATTTCTATAACTAACTTTACGCACTTGTAAATATGTTAATTAATCACTTGGTACACCATAGATTTGTTTGTTCTTCAAATTCTTATAAACACAACTGTAAAGTATTTTATAAAAAACAATAATGTTCACTACGTGTACTTTAACACTTGGATTGACAGTGCGACGATAGATTGACCTTTAATCGTTCAAAGTCTACGAGATTTTCAATGCTCTATAAAACTCGATTCGGGCAAAATTAAAACAAAAAACAACTTTTTGGACAATCGCGAAGTTAGATGTACACAACTTGAGTAAAAAAAAAGTTACATGAATATCACCCACGTAGATGGATATACAATTAAATCCGAGCTTTTATTGTACGAAGAAAGAACAAAAAAAAAAAAGGGAGGGGAATAATCCCTCAATTTTCTTTTCCCTTGCGAAAAAAAGGGACGGCAGGCTCAGGCTAGGCGACGAGATCGTCGAAGTCGAGGGCAAGGACCTGCGCACCCTCAGCAGCCTCGAGGAGGTCCAGGAGTTTCTGCGCTCCTGCGAGGGCATGAGAATCCGTCTGAAAAGCGCGTACGAGGAAACGGTACCGCAGATCTACCTCGACAGCGCGGAAGTCGCGCCAGCGCTGGACGACTACCTCGAGCGAAATCTCACCGACTCGGAACCCCCGAAACCCACCCAACAACCGATTGCCGATCCCGCGAAAGGCCAGACCAAGCGACCCGACTTTCTCGCCCTGGACACGGTGATCGCGGTGCCCGGCGATGGTAGTCTCCAACACCAGCAGCAGCAGTACCAGTACACGACGAGGCACACGGCGAGGTTCGTCAAGGGCTTAGGGAAGCCGAGCTTGGGTTTCAGCGTCGTGGGAGGCAGGGATACCCCACGCGGCGAGATGGGCATCTTCGTCAAGAGGGTCTTCCCCGGGGGCCAGGCTGACGTTTCCGAGGCTCTGTTTCAAGGTACGTTACCGATAATTGAATTTCATTCTGTGTCCTCTTGTCGCTCCTTTGACAATGGAAATGTAGACCGATCGCTTCTGAGCCGTGCAATCCAGAGAACCCGATATCGGTGGGTTGTGGCGTAACGAATCTTTTTTTTTCCAACGCTTCGAATAAACGGGGGAGCGGTCAAGCGGATAAATATACAATCACGGAAGAGCAGAAGGAGCGTTTCCTTATGGCACGTGGGGATGCCAATTTTACTCCACGTTACTATTTTTAACCTCACTGGTAACACCTTGAATATTTATTTATTTATTTATTTATTATTATTCCTTTGTCAAGATATTCGGGATCACAAAAAGATTTTCAAAAGTCATTAAAAGTCATTGCATGACTTAAATGTCTCCCAATGACTAAAAGTCTTGCAAAGTCACGAAATGACTATAGAATTTTTTTCAAAACTTTGAAGTCTGTAGCCGTTGCAATGTAAAAAGCACAATTTAAAAGCACTAGCACTTAATGTAGGTATTATCGATTACAAAAATAATATGCAAAAGGTGGAAAAGGCTATGCGTATCGAGCGAGTCCTGGAATACAAATTTACAAGCGAGTCTTAGTCTCGCGCTAGAAGAACCGGGGGCGTAAATAGTTTGTAGCAATTTACGTAGACAGCTTGAACATTAATTCGCAGTAGCGACAAACTTGAGACTGTTGGACAAAAAAAATAAAATAATAATAACGTACACAAAAGTAACTTGTATTGAATAAAATTTTGATCCCCAAACAAGCCGTGAAAGAGTCAAATTAAAATCGGCAAATAAGTATACCCTTGCTGGGTGTCACTTGACGAAAAATGCCCGAATGAACAAAAAACAGAAACACTACAACACCCATTGTAATTTTAAGGCGACGTCGTTGGCGCGAATACTTAAAATTTCAGTACTTTACGAGAGCACGTCCACCCACTTGGGCTGTTGCCGGCGTGTCGAGAATTCATTTGGCATTGTACACCCCATACAGCTCAGGACTCGCATACCATGCCCATACTACACAGATATAGACGTGGTACTAACAGATAGTATATATACATATGTACATGCACGTGTATTCCGACATGTGTCGAATTTGTAATATCCTTCTCTGCGCGTACTTATACGACTCCTGAATTCTCGATCGAGACTCACAAGTACCCCGTAGAGTTTTCAAATGAGCACGGGGTGCACCTGTGAGTACACGTATAGGATGTAAGCACGTAGACACGGGTGCCGTGGCGCCGTTATCAATTCTCATCATCCTCGCGTATACCGGGTATATGTTGCCGAATCTCTCGGCTTCTTTTGAAGTTGGGCGCTGGGTTAACATTCGAATGAACCGAGTTTCGTTTCAGTTTAGTCAAGTTGGTGCTGGTATCGTTGGACTAGGGATTTTCCGTTGAATCGTAAACGTACCGTTAAGGAAACCAATTTATTTGCTCGCATATCTTTTCGGGAGATTTTTTGCTTAAAAGAAAAATCTCGTGCACCTTCAAGTGTCCATACCATAAAAAGCACTAATCCTGTCTTCTCCGCTCGCTTGTCTATTTTTTTCGTAGGGATATTATAATACGTCAACCCCTGGCGATAAAAAGTGTAGCTAATCCACGTATACACGCTTCAGATATACACGATCTGCGTATCGAATGATATTTATTTTTTCGAAAAAAGTCTCTATCTGTTCGATCGTGTGTGCCACGTCCTAACTCGCGGTTTCCCAGAAGATGTCGAAAGAGAGAAAAATAAAGGAAAAATTTCGCTCACCGCGACACCTGGATACGAGAAAATTTTGCGGTCGTTGCGCGTAAACGCAACTAAGTAAGTAGATCGGTTAGACAGGCCACATGCGTGAAACATCACGCGAATCTCGTCTAGCCACTTGATACGGCGATTCATCGATACGTGGATCTCACGTTCATATGTCATACAACTTTTTTTTTTACATCTCGCTACATTTGACTCCGATTGCTCGAAGATGATACGCACCGCACTTTTTTTTCAATGGTTTGACGCCTGTGTTTTGCCCCTAACGGTATTTTCTGGCACGCTCTGCTGTTGATTTGGTTGCGGCCGTTACAGGCGCGCGCTGTTTAGCTTGGGATGCTCATTTGCCTGCAGCCGGCACGTGACTTGTCCAGAGTGTTTTTTTTTTTTTTTTTTTTGCCACTTTTCCAACCCAATAATGGTGGTACAGGTTAGATTTATCTTGAGCGTTTTTGAATCTTCTTCGCTCGGTTTACGCTGATTTACCCGAGGTGACAGCTTAGTTTGATCCGATCTGCTTGTCGAGTTGGAATTGATTTTTCCCCACCAAGTGATTGATTACTGAGATTTGATCATATATTGGCAAATCAAAGTAACATAACGCGACGTTGACCTAACCTAGCTTTTTCTAATGTAAAGTAGTTGACAAGTGAGAAAATCACATCGTTGTAGGTTATACCATGTAATTCAAATTGTTTCTACAAAGAGTCTCGGGTACACTTTGGTGTGCCAATAACGTCATAGGGATGTTCGCATGAGTTTTCTTATGGATTACGAAAATAGGTGGGTGTAAGCAAAACTGAAGATGTACTCGTGCTTCTGTTTGAGGCCATCATCACAGCAAAATCCTACAAAATAATAGCTTTCGAATACAACAAAGCCCCATTGGTGTAAGGCTTTCGAAAACTCATCACCAAGTAAATACTTTCTAAGCCGTAAAACACGTGGGATGAAAAAAAATTCCAAACCAAATATATCTGCCGATACAGCCGAATGCAATAAAATTTGCAGTAAATAAACTGCAAATCCGCGCGTAGCTAATCTCATTGACACTCGACCGCTAATTACACAATTGTACACGAGTATATGCATCTGTGTTTATGTAAACAACACCAGAAGGGAAAAAAGAGTCCCATCACTTTGTGGGTTAAAAACGTGCGTCGAGTAAAATACGGTGAAATTTAGGTTGACCAGTCGACTATACGTGTACTTACCAGCACACAGTGCGGTGACACGAAAAAACTTTGAATGCGCGCGCGCGCTTCTTCAACGGCGATTTCTATTATTAGAATGCGCCGGCGTAGAGCAGCGACTTTTTACCGGCCGGCTTTCTTTAATAGACGATGACCTACTTGGTTTCCTTCCCATCTTTCGATGCCCGACGACGGATTGGACTGTCAACGCTGACGAGTTGTCAATCCGACGTTCACGAATCTTACGTAGAGATTATTCCTTTTTTTTTAATTTCAGGTGACGAAATATTGAGTTTTAATGGAAAAGCACTTATGGGCTGCACGCACCAAGAGGTCATCGAATTGTTCAAGTCCGTTCGCGAGGGATCGATTGAACTTGAACTCGCTAGAAGGCATAGGTAATTTATCTTATTTAATTCATTGTTTATAATTAAATGAATAGTTGACGAAATAGTGATAAAATTATCAAATACTGCTCTCACTATATTAAAATCAGTATTTGGTAGTGATGACATAGAGCTTTGATATTTAATGACGGGTGTTTTGAATATCTGTTGCGTTAAATATGTTCCCTTCATAAGAACAAGGAAAATCTGCGAATAAATCCAAGCAATGAGGAGCCTATTGTTTTAAAAGGCATTGGAAATTTACATTATAAATATATTGTACCATTATGTTGCTAATGAAAGGATTTTCTTTGTTAAGTTAATATCTTGCCAATACATTGTTAAATTGAATACATCAGTCATTACTGAGATTGTATTGATGAAGCAGATAAAAAAATCAGTAAACATAAGTTACATAATTTTTGGATCAGTTCAAGTTCCTCGAATTTATGGAATGATTTATAAAATTGAAATGAAAAATATTTTTCTCCCTTGACTTTTAACAGACATGTTGAATATTGTTTTTTATGTAGTCGCATCAAGAAAATGTCATTTCTTTAAAATTTTTCACCACTTGTACTGATTGAAACGTTCGTTTGCTCTTCCATAGGTACCAGACGCCATTAAAAACAGCACCATACTAAAAACAAGGCCAAATCAACAACGAAGACAAAGAAACATACTGCCATCTGTGCCTGCTTCGGTATAGCATATAGAATCGACATGATGAAAAAAAAGTTGTAGAAAAAACCGCCTCAACGACTGCTGGCGATTTGCGAAAGCCCCCTCAAGAACTCTTTAGATTCTAGTCTCCGTTTTCTCCATTTTTCAATTTTCAATTTTCAATTTTTTATCTTGCTTACACGGACACACGCGCGTAACTTACATACCTTCACAAACGCCCGCACATCACTTCATTTTCAGTATAGTACTATATTTGTATATTTTTATATATATTATTTAAATATGTATAATTTATTTATCATTTTTATTAGTATTTTTTAAAATACGTGAAATATTATTGACCTTAAGATTAAAAAAGTATTGTATCGTTTTTCTCATAATTACGTCATTCGTAGAAATATGATGTATCGAAGTATCGAAGAAAGTTTACAATTCGCTCTGTTGATTTTGATTTGCTAAGCGAACAACAATTATTTTGTATGTAATTATATTTTAAAGTGCCTCTTTGACAAACTTGTAGACGAAAAAATTATTTATGTAAAATAAAATGTTAATTGACTGTTTCGATTGAGCGTATATAGAGATTTTAACGTAGAAGATTTATATTTAAGCAATAAGTATTTAGCATTTATTAAATCAATATCGTTTATCAAATAATGCATAATTGTTACATGAATTATTGTAAAATAAAACTGTTTATAATAGTTGCAAGCATTTAACATGTGGTACAATATCATTGAATAACCTTATTTGTTGTTTAATAATTTTATTGAAAACAAAAATGTATGCACCATTTGCCAAGAGTAAACTTTTATGATATAATTAAACAATGTAAAATTTAAAGTTTAACACGTTGGAGAATGTGTCAAGATGTTTTGTATCCAATAAAAAATTTAAGATTGAATAACAGAAGTATCAGAAATAATAATGATGATAATAGTAATAAAATAATAATAACNATAATAATAATAATAATAATAATAATAATAAATGGCTTGTTCTCAAGTAAAATTACTCCTTAAATTTAAATTTTTTGGGTACGGCTGCTTTTTGGATAAACAATCTTTTCATCTCGACTGGTAACTGACACACGGTGGAAAATTTTGGGATTTTTAAAAATAGCATACAAAAAGTATAACCCTTGTATGTAAAAAGACATCCAAGCTTATTTGTTGATTGAGGAACGACCGAAGAGGGATATCAATCTAGAAAAATTTTTTTTTTCATGATATATTGTTGTAGGAGCGAGACTTGACCAAAAAGCAAAGACATCACATGTCATATTCATTAAAATACCAACGTGAGTAACAATTTAAAAAAAATAAACCACTGCTATGTATAATATTATCAGGTAGATTGAATATTAACAACAAAATTGTGCCTTTCTAAATTAAAAACCAACTTGAAAATCAAACGAAAAGATATCAAATCAATGCTGCTGTAGAATTTTTCAGCTATTTTTTCAAAAGCCTAACTCAAGCTTACAAGCATTAAACTAATGTAAGAAAAAGATATCAATTAACTTCCTAAATTTGATGTACACTTTAGTGACTTTTCATTTGTTCCAAATTTTATTTTGGAATATTGCTTTACGAAATTGTAATGCTACTTAAGTGTACATTAAATAAAGTTATTTTATAACCAGCCATAGATAAAAAGTGTTTACATAACTATCTTAGTTTACTGTTGTACTGTTACTATTGGTGAAATACAATTAATTTTTCATCGTAGTTTTAAAGAAGTAATTTTTTTTTTTCTACACGAAAAACGCTTCCACATCTTGGCCTGAGGATTGGTAAAAACAATAAGTACACAAACTACAGAGAAAAATGTAAAACACTTTTGACTTCCTAAATGAGTAATGTGTACCTACTCCAAGTAAGAATCAACGCAGCTTACACCGTATACTTATCACTAGAATCCAGAAGAAGTAGTGAGTAATATCGACCAACATAAGAAATATGGAGCAACTTATATTAATACATAAAAAAGCCGTGACATTTTGGGTAAAGTCTTCTACTACCTCAATTTCATGATATTCGCTAACTTTCTACAGCTACGAAAGTATGGTGCTCATTATGAATGTAGATTCACTTTAAATTACATTAGTATCAATAAAAAAAAACATCTCTATTTTATCAAGAATCTCTTATTTCAATAATAGTCTAAATCAAGTGTAATTGAATCTTGATATGCATAAAAAAAAGTTATTTCTTCAAAGGTTTAACGTTCGATATTTTTGTGCAGTAACCGTTTGATATTAAGTCCTTACAAGTTTTTTTAAAAGCTTTTATTGAACTTCATAAGTATGTATTGATACATATTTATGTGCACAAATTTTGTAATCAATATTTCACCCACTTCCACTGAAGCTATCGTAATGAAATTTGGTGAAATTTGCAGGAGCTGGTGCTTGACTTAGCCGTCTACGACGGAACGTCCCTTTTGCATGCGAATTCTAATGGAGATTGATTTGGAGGGGATAAGAAAATCGACCAAAGTGCCTATGGTGGCTAAAATATTGTTAGCTCTCGAAAAACTGAAGCCTGAGTTCTATGTACGATTAACTCTTTTGCCGATGGATCTTAAATTTAGCATTATTATGACTTATTACATGCGTACAAGTTGTAGAACGAGATATAAGAAATCTGTATAACTGCAAGGGGCTGCGCTTCAAGCTATGGGCACTCTTTCAGTTCTGATAAAACGATCGAGATCTTTTTGAGACTTATGAAGTCTTTGAAAGACTTTGAATGACTTATAAAGTCTTTTTTAATGACTTGAAGTCTTCTTTGATGACTTTAAGCTATATGCACTCTTGAAGTCCTGATAAAACATTTGAAGTCTTTGAAAGACTTTGAATGACTTATAAAGTCTTTTTTAATGACTTGAAGTCTTCTTTGATGACTTTAAGCTATATGCACTCTTGAAGTCCTGATAAAACATTTGAAGTCTTTGAAAGACTTTGAATGACTTATAAAGTCTTTTTTAATGACTTGAAGTCTTCTTTGATGACTTTAAGCTATATGCACTCTTGAAGTCCTGATAAAACATTTGAAGTCTTTGAAAGACTTTGAATGACTTATAAAGTCTTTTTTAATGACTTGAAGTCTTCTTTGATGACTTTAAGCTATATGCACTCTTGAAGTCCTGATAAAACATTTGAAGTCTTTGAAAGACTTTGAATGACTTATAAAGTCTTTTTTAATGACTTGAAGTCTTCTTTGATGACTTTAAGCTATATGCACTCTTGAAGTCCTGATAAAACATTTGAAGTCTTTGAAAGACTTTGAATGACTTATAAAGTCTTTTTTAATGACTTGAAGTCTTCTTTGATGACTTTAAGCTATATGCACTCTTGAAGTCCTGATAAAACATTTGAAGTCTTTGAAAGACTTTGAATGACTTATAAAGTCTTTTTTAATGACTTGAAGTCTTCTTTGATGACTTTAAGCTATATGCACTCTTGAAGTCCTGATAAAACATTTGAAGTCTTTGAAAGACTTTGAATGACTTATAAAGTCTTTTTTAATGACTTGAAGTCTTCTTTGATGACTTTAAGCTATATGCACTCTTGAAGTCCTGATAAAACATTTGAAGTCTTTGAAAGACTTTGAATGACTTATAAAGTCTTTTTTAATGACTTGAAGTCTTCTTTGATGACTTTAAGCTATATGCACTCTTGAAGTCCTGATAAAACATTTGAAGTCTTTGAAAGACTTTGAATGACTTATAAAGTCTTTTTTAATGACTTGAAGTCTTCTTTGATGACTTTAAGCTATATGCACTCTTGAAGTCCTGATAAAACATTTGAAGTCTTTGAAAGACTTTGAATGACTTATAAAGTCTTTTTTAATGACTTGAAGTCTTCTTTGATGACTTTAAGCTATATGCACTCTTGAAGTCCTGATAAAACATTTGAAGTCTTTGAAAGACTTTGAATGACTTATAAAGTCTTTTTTAATGACTTGAAGTCTTCTTTGATGACTTTAAGCTATATGCACTCTTGAAGTCCTGATAAAACATTTGAAGTCTTTGAAAGACTTTGAATGACTTATAAAGTCTTTTTTAATGACTTNTAAAAAAAGAACAGAAATCAGAATAAGGTATGAGTATGACTCAATACGTAAAACAAGTTTCTTAAAATTCAAAAAATCGTAGTAATCACCTAAATAAGGTGTGGATTAATAATTTTCTTTCCAAACTACTAAATATGCACAAGAGAAAAAATAATGTTTAAGGTCTAGATTATTGAAATCAATCGACTAATTCTTGAAATATGACTGATGACACTCACACCCACACATACACACAAATATTTTTTTAAAAGACAATGTATTTTTTATCAATAGTAAAAAATAATTCAACATATGTTGTTAAGAAAGCTTGATTTTTTTTACCCACATAAATCTTTTTCCATTAGAAAGCTAAAAAGAAGAACAATTTGATATGATAGTATATTTTTCTTTTATTATAAAAGTTCAGATATTGAAGATATTCTATAACTAAAAGTTGAATAATACGTTAAAATTTTGTATGCACAATACGTATGCTCATGTAGGTTTAAAAAGCCCTTTTTAGAATGAAATTTCAATTTTTAATGAGCGTTTTCAACAACACAAGTCTGATTACAAAAGTCATCTTCATTTATTGATTTTCATAGGCACTTCAACTTCAAGGCAATATTAGAAATTTTGTATGAAATAATAGTAGAGTACTTTTAAAACAGTTGTAAAATACAAGAGATGGTTTTTTTTGTTTGAAATTTCTGCTTATTTTAAAATCAACCGCAAATGACAAAACAATGGCTCTCGAAAATCGTTCCAAGCAATCATTCTTACTTTTCGTCCGAACTATATACTTACAATGCCATTTATTTTAGTACTGATGTTTTGTTGTTCGGACCAAAATAGAATGCTGATCGCGTATATGATTCGTAAGTTGCCCGTTTTTAACAAAAGTGAGCAAGCACTCGGAGCAGTGATGGGCGTGCACGCAACCAAGGTGCCTTGTGAAATTGTCCCTCTCGGCGAAGGTTTGCAAGCACTCGCCGCAACTGTACGGCTTCTCGCCCTTGTGGATGCCAGAGATTAGAAGGGAGATTGCCAGCGCCTATGGTAGAGAGTGTGTCGCTTTTTTTCCACTGTTTTGAGCGCCCCGTCGCGGCAAATCAGCCGAACTATACGCACGTTTCAGCAGCGGAGGAGAAGACCAAATTGTGCGTACGATAGGTACCTAGTAGAGGGGGAAGGAATATGTGCGTATACACGGGTATAGCTATATATGTTTTGTATTCTAGCTGCCTCGGCTCTCGGCTCCCGGCTCTCGCAGCTCGCAGCTCTCGCATGCATGCGTATACCTATATCTATTCCTGATGTGATGTTCCCTCAAAAGCGGTTTTGAATGTTGGACAGTTATTATATGTCCGGTCATATATTATTCATTAAATGTGTATTAAATACTTGTACAGCTAAATACTGAGTTTTCCTCGTATAAAATAAAAAATTGAGTAATAAAAACGTAAGCCCCGATATTTAATGTAACTTCTTGAAACTTGATATTTATAAAATAATCATTTTTACAACTTGAATAATTTATGTTTTTATAGATTTATAAAAATTTAGCACATTAAAAATATCAGAATAATACACACACGCTTCACTTTGATTTTTGAGTTTATTCAATAGAGAATGACTTTTTCTGTAATTAAAATATCATTCTTCAACACATGTAACTTTTCTAATAAGAATAAGTAATTGTGAAAATATTTAGAAAAATAATTCTACTTGTAGGCCAAACTTTAACACAATTATCAATATAAAGAAAAAATAAACTAATACTTAAGCTTAAACCCTGGAGCTTCACGATAAACATGTGTCACTGTAAGTGCTAAAGAAAAGAGTGCGTTGGTAGTCAAGGTAACTAAGTACCGCATTGTGTAATTTTGCTTTGAGCATTCTGGGGTTCAAATCTCGCTCGCAGCAGAATTTTTTTTTTTTTACGATTTTTTTTTATGGTAGTACAAAACTTTTTTTTGATAATAGTATTTAATTCTCATGTTTATGTTGCTTACCGACTACGCTTTGTAAATTCATTCCTTGTAAAGTTGGGTGATTTTGTTAGATATTTAAATTTTTTAATAAAAATATAATATCATTAGTGGGGAAAATGCTAATTACCATTTCATCCTTTTTTAGATGGCTATAAAACTATTATTGATGAAGTTAAAAATCAACCAAAAGTAATTTAATAGTACTAAGTTATTTTACACTATTCTAACAAAATGGTTATGATCTCACTTCGATGAGGATCACACCTTTTACAACCCAATTAATAATTGTGTTAAACTTATTCAAACAATTAATTAAACTATTAGAAACCAGGAAAATTTTTGAAAACACTTTTTATCAAATGATTTTTCATTGCTTTTCCAAGTTAAACACAAGTTTATTGATAAAACACTCAGTTAACTGGAGAGCAAAGTATGGCATCACTTAACATAAAGGAAACCATGAAAACATTAGTAAAATAAAAGGCAAGGTATTAAATATTTAGGACTTAAAAATTTTTTTCCTATTTTAGAACTAAATTTTGCCTATTCTATAGATATAACTTATGTTGTACAAGTTCTTACACTAATTTTGATGATTCAGATCAAAAAATTGTTTTTAAATCCATACGGCATTTACCAAAAAAATTAAATTTATAGTACCTTATAATTTTTTCAGAGCCACAATTGTGACCTCTTATTAATCGTCTATATTTTGTTTAAAAAATTTTTAATCTAATAAAAGGGTAGTCTGAATATGTCTCATGGTGTATACATGTCATAAAATGTATGTAAAAAAACGTATTGCGGGAAAACTGGGCTTTTTTTGTCCATGAGCACTGCACTAAAAATGCTCTCAAAATTTTACGCTTTGATCAAACTTGTCTGATTGTAAGCTCTCAGTTGAGACATTCAGCCCAAATCTAACAACAAAATTGCGGCCTATTTAGATCATAACTACTTAATTTAATCTTAAAACTTGATAACATGTATATGCGTCTGCGTTCACAGACAGAGTTCTGTTTCTCGTCAAAATTCAACTTTTTAGTACTGTAATAATACTATTTTTTGAGTTAATACTTGATTTTCCTTTATCTCACAAAAATGCCCATCAATTGTTGCATATAATAAGCGTATGTGTATGTATATGTACACACATCAATATGTTACTAATCACATTTTAGAACTTTTTGAAACAATTTTAACAAACTTTAAATTTTTTATCTTAAAATTAGTACTACCATCGACAGACGAAATTTTAATTTTACTTATACATTTTTTTAATTTCAATGTAAATATGTTGGTAAGTTTTAATCTCTTAGTACATACCTCTATAATTTTTTGCACCTATAATAAGGATTCTCATGATCGGTTCTAATCATCCTTAGCTTATGATTTTGTTTTGGTATACGTACTAAGGCTAAAAAAACCAATGTGATTGGTCAATTTGTTTTTTATTAAAACATATAAACCTCTAAAAATCAATGTTAAAATAAAAAAAGTTTTGCTTTTTGTTCTTAATTATTTTTTTAGTGTTATATTTTATGATTAAAACTTTACAGCAACATTAAGTTCCTGACTAAAAGCATGATTAAAAAAAATTAAATAAAAAAAACAAAAACAAAATTTGATATAGGTAAATTCGGGTGTACGTGTGCATCAATACTCATGTCTCTACAATCTTTTGAAAATATTTAGTAAGCCTAGTTGTTTCTAATCCCGTTCCTAAAGTCGCTTCAATTTTTATCGATATCTTTATTATTTTCAAATTAAGAATCATATGATATTATGTAAATATTTTAAATGACAAATATTAAATTGTGTCCAACAAAAACTTTAGGACTAAACCAAATTTTTAAAGTGACTATAATTATACCTGGATTCAATAAATATTAGTACAACTAATTTAGTGCAACATAAAAATTAAGAAATAAAAATTATTGATAAAAGTTAAGAGCTATGTAATTGGTAGAGATTTTTTTTTTTAATACCTACTACGATTCATTCGAGAAATCACTGGTTTCTCAGCAGACTATTAAATGATTTTATAGAAATTCTACTCAAAATATTTTTAATTATTATTGTTATTATTATTATTATAATTATAAATATTATCATTATTATTTATCCCAGGAATCAAACTAGTACTTTTTATACTAAAGATATCTAAAGACCACGTTTGTTGAACGCATTATATTTCATTGTTTAGGTGGTAGTCTTATTTGAGTATTGTTTCTAGAAAAAAAACACAGAAAAACATCACTGCTTTTTTTCAATTAAATGGTGTAAAACGATTTTTCAGCCATTTAAAAACGATTATTGGCTATTAAATCGTTCAGAAGATATTAAAAAAAAAAAATTACTTTCAAAAGTTTCTTTTTTATAAGCTCTACAAAATTTGTATTCAATACTTTGTTGTAGAATTTAAATTTATTTCTGTAACAGATACCAAATCTTTTTTGACTGTTTTTATGTTTATTTTGCATTATGAAGCGTCTGCATTAATTGCTATCTGCAGCAAAACATACAGTACTAAAAAGTTGAATTTTGACGAGAAACAGAACTCTGTCTGTGAACGCAGACGCATATACATGTTATCAAGTTTTAAGATTAAATTAAGTAGTTATGATCTAAATAGGCCGCAATTTTGTTGTTAGATTTGGGCTGAATGTCTCAGCTGAGAGCTTACAATCAGACAAGTTTGATCAAAGCGTAAAATTTTGAGAGCATTTTTAGTGCAGTGCTCATGGACAAAAAAAGCCCAGTTTTCCCGCAATACGTTTTTTTACATACATTTTATGACATGTATACACCATGAGACATACTCAGACTACCCTTTTATTAGATTAAAAATTTTTTAAACAAAATATAGACGATTAATAAGTGGTCACAATTGTGGCTCTGAAAAAATTATAAGGTACTATAAATTTAATTTTTTTGGTAAATGCCGTATGGATTTAAAAACAATTTTTTGATCTGAATCATCAAAATTAGTGTAAGAACTTGTACAACATAAGTTATATCTATAGAATAGGCAAAATTTAGTTCTAAAATAGGAAAAAAATTTTTAAGTCCTAAATATTTAATACCTTGCCTTTTATTTTACTAATGTTTTCATGGTTTCCTTTATGTTAAGTGATGCCATACTTTGCTCTCCAGTTAACTGAGTGTTTTATCAATAAACTTGTGTTTAACTTGGAAAAGCAATGAAAAATCATTTGATAAAAAGTGTTTTCAAAAATTTTCCTGGTTTCTAATAGTTTAATTAATTGTTTGAATAAGTTTAACACAATTATTAATTGGGTTGTAAAAGGTGTGATCCTCATCGAAGTGAGATCATAACCATTTTGTTAGAATAGTGTAAAATAACTTAGTACTATTAAATTACTTTTGGTTGATTTTTAACTTCATCAATAATAGTTTTATAGCCATCTAAAAAAGGATGAAATGGTAATTAGCATTTTCCCCACTAATGATATTATATTTTTATTAAAAAATTTAAATATCTAACAAAATCACCCAACTTTACAAGGAATGAATTTACAAAGCGTAGTCGGTAAGCAACATAAACATGAGAATTAAATACTATTATCAAAAAAAAGTTTTGTACTACCATAAAAAAAAATCGTAAAAAAAAAAAAATTCTGCTGCGAGCGAGATTTGAACCCCAGAATGCTCAAAGCAAAATTACACAATGCGGTACTTAGTTACCTTGACTACCAACGCACTCTTTTCTTTAGCACTTACAGTGACACATGTTTATCGTGAAGCTCCAGGGTTTAAGCTTAAGTATTAGTTTATTTTTTCTTTATATTGATAATTGTGTTAAAGTTTGGCCTACAAGTAGAATTATTTTTCTAAATATTTTCACAATTACTTATTCTTATTAGAAAAGTTACATGTGTTGAAGAATGATATTTTAATTACAGAAAAAGTCATTCTCTATTGAATAAACTTAAAAATCAAAGTGAAGCGTGTGTGTATTATTCTGATATTTTTAATGTGCTAAATTTTTATAAATCTATAAAAACATAAATTATTCAAGTTGTAAAAATGATTATTTTATAGATATCAAGTTTCAAGAAGTTACATTAAATATCGGGGCTTACGTTTTTATTACTCAATTTTTTATTTTATACGAGGAAAACTCAGTATTTAGCTGTACAAGTATTTAATACACATTTAATGAATAATATATGACCGGACATATAATAACTGTCCAACATTCAAAACCGCTTTTGAGGGAACATCACATCAGGAATAGATATAGGTATACGCATGCATGCGAGAGCTGCGAGCTGCGAGAGCCGGGAGCCGAGAGCCGAGGCAGCTAGAATACAAAACATATATAGCTATACCCGTGTATACGCACATATTCCTTCCCCCTCTACTAGGTACCTATCGTACGCACAATTTGGTCTTCTCCTCCGCTGCTGAAACGTGCGTATAGTTCGGCTGATTTGCCGCGACGGGGCGCTCAAAACAGTGGAAAAAAAGCGACACACTCTCTACCATAGGCGCTGGCAATCTCCCTTCTAATCTCTGGTGGATGCGCGCGTGCCGCGTGAGGTGGCTATTGTTCGTGAAAACCTTCGAACACACCTCGCAGACGTAGGACTTGCACGGCTGGTGTCCAGCGTGGGTGCGCTCGTGCAGTATCAGGCTGACTTTGTGATCGTAAGCCCTAGTACACATCGAACATCGGTGGGGCTTAAGATTCCCACACGTGTGCCACCGCTTGTGTCTGGTCAAACCGCTACTGTCTCTGAATCTTTGCTCACAAAGGTTGCACTCGTAAGGCATCTCGCCTGTATGAATCATCTCGTGGAATACAAGACCGTTCTTACTACTGAAGGAACTTGGACACACTTTGCAACCGTAGGGCTTTTCGCCAGAGTGGATGCGTTCGTGTCGCGTAAGGTGGGCCTCTTGGCTGAAGGCTCGTTGGCAAACTTTGCAGCCGTAGGACTTTTGACTATTGTGGATCGCCTCGTGAGTGGTGAGGTTGCACTTTTGATTGAAGCTTTTCGAGCATACGTTGCATTTGTATGGCTTTTCCCCAGTGTGGACGCGCTGGTGCGTCTTCAAAGCGGAGTTTGATCGACAAATGTTTCCGCACAAGTCACAAAGATAATACTTGTTGCTGTCAGTCATATTCATACTAAAAATTGATGTGGAAGTTGTACAACCGTGCGGCTTCGCTTTGGTTGGTAGAGCGTAATTGTCGTGATTGCTGATGAATGTAAAAACGTTTCCGCTGCAAATGGGTGATGAGGGCAGTTTGTTTCATAATATGTTTTCCTGTTTAACATAGAAAAGAATGTTTACTACGTTAGTAAAAACTTTTTTGCCTCGTTGTACGTGTTTATTTTAAGTCAAATGTTGCAATAAAATACAAATACGAAACGAATGATCATAACTTTTGTTAACATAAAATTTAAATTCTTGTCATTGTGCATCATTCCCCTCTCAATTATAAATTTTCTCTCAAAATATTATTGCATTAAATTCCTTTTTTTCTAAGTATTGCCACATACTTTAAAGGAATCCAAAGTTTTAGTTTACAATTGTTTTTTTTCTACGTCTCTCAAGCTTTGTAAAGTTAAAAATATTGTATATGCACTATTTTCTTTGAAATTATTAATTGTTAAATGTTATTGCGAAAAGAAAGTTTGATAGAATGTTCATAAAATTGTTATAATAGAGAAACAAAAAACTACGACTTGTTAGGTTCATTAATTGGAACAATTACGAAAAAAATGTATTGCTATTCGTAATACAACGTCTATTTCTGACGATGAGAGAAATATCGCTAGGACAATTAGGTATTCCATGTGCTCGTAGTCGTGTATATTTATATATATTACACATACATATACGTACAGTGATAAATTCAAAAATATCCATTATAATGATTTATCGAATCACTTCCATTGTATCTTTCATTTATTTATGACTCATATTGCGGCCTCTAAGATGATAACGTCATTGAATTAAATTTTAAAAAATTTCTTTATCATACAATTAAGATTAGTTTTGATTAGCTGCATACGCAGCAGGTAATACAAAAGAAATTACTTATAGGTAACAAAATTTATCGAAACAACTAGCATACTTTGATGCAAGTAATGTGAGTAATTTCAACTTACTTTTGTGTAAATTCTGTAAAACTTTCTTCAATTTGTGTAGCCTACACGTTTTAATACGTAGTTTATTATTTTCAACTTTGGGCGTTTTTGAGGCGTTAACTGCGCCTTTAGTAGGAAAATAGAAACTACACCTGATACGCATCTAACCAGGACAAAGCACAACGGATCTTTCGGGCCCGGTGCTTGCCCTGGTAACAGCAGAGGAGCCAGATCATTTTTGATAAAATTTTTTCGTAGGGCACACCCTCGAGATGGGGTTTGTTTTACACGTAATGTCATATATTATATAAATTGTGAATATGAGTTTCAGTCAAGGTGACACACTTTTTTTTATTTGAATGCTTAACTATTATATCTAGGTACATAATTTTTTGACGTGAACTACAGAAAACGGTGTCACATTGTCTGAAACTCTTGTTCATGACTCTTCCGACTCAGTACATGATATTGCTAGTAAAGAAGCCCAATTTTAAGGGTGTGCCTCCAAAAAAATATTTTATAAAAAATGGGAGACATATTCGGGATATTTTTCGTGGATTTACTCACATATACGTATACATAATTATGTGCTCGAAGGCTCTGAAGTGAGCGTATTTTGTGAAAATTTTATTTTTTCTCATCGCTGCCTGGGTACATGCACCACTAGGTTCGAAAACTGCTATTTTACGCTCCTAAAGTAAACACATTGCTTTTTAAGTACATAATCAAGAAATTACACTTTTAAACTTGTAAACGCGTATTAAAGTGAGTAAAACGTTTTGCTAATAAATTGCACATTTTAATGGGTTGAAAATACAGACACTTATTTATGGTTAAAAAAAACACTCTTGGATATACATAGTGTATATTATTAAAAACGTCACATATCCTTTGAAGTAAATGTTTTTATTAGAATAGTACATTACGCACCTATGCCGAAAAAGTAATGAAAGTCTCAAATCTTCTGCACAGCGAAGTGTTCGCTTTTTCCAGACTGCTGGCATGAACACTACACTTATAACTGTCCGTCAAATAAAGTTGTCTTTATGAGTGAATACTAGAAGCTGAGTTTGCTGTAAGCAGTAACACAACTCTACGAGTTAAGTGACGCTGATTAGATTAGGTTAGAAATAATCGATGTTTGGTAAGAAATTCAATTCAAACTAATATCTAATCTATACTTAATATCACTGTAGAAGTTTTTCGGTTCATTGCAATTTTACGAGTATGCATGCACATATATTATGTGCACATTAATTTTTCAGCAAGACCCAGGCTGCAAGCTCGACGCGTACTTTGTTCGTTTTTGATTTATTTTGAGAAACTTGCTATTTATTTCAAAATAGTTGTAACTTAAACTCGGGAACTGATAATAGGGTAAAAGTATCCATTACCGTACAGTTTTGCACCGATTTTTTTTTGTATATTTTACTGCATCATTGTTTACTGTCAAACATTGATTCAAAACGTTTTAAATCGTTGTTTTGGGTTCCTTGCACGTAAGAAAATTTTTTTTTTACCATACTGTCGTACCAAAATAATTTTATAACTAATCAACGATTTAAAAATCGTGCTCCTAATTACCGTACAGCTGATTCTATTACCGCACCCGATCTACCGCACGTGTTCCTATTACCGTACACCAATTACCGCTTGATGACAAGTACTTTACTTTACTTTACTTTAAATATTTTTACTATACTTTACTTGAATCTCGTCTTAACGCCGATTCCAAAATTCAGATGTTCAAAAATTTAAAAATTCAAAGCTTCAAAAAATTCAAAAAATTCAAAAATTCAAAAATTGTAAAAATTCCAAATACTTAAATATTCAAAATTAAATAATTCATAACTTACAACTAATTACTGTTAATTATCACAAAATTCCAAACTTATATAACACTTATTTAGGCACTTATTAAAATAATCGAAATCTTCTCTAAGTCCATTAAATCCTGACTAAATTTTGTCAACACTCTTTTCATTAGCCTCTACATAACTGACCACTGACTTAAGCTCTACTGACTTTACCACTTTTTCCTCAAGCACTTAGCCACTTCCTACCACTTCAGACTTCACTTCTACTCTTCTCTATCGTATATGCCTCTGTTACTCCATTTAGGACACCTCCCATCACTGGTCCTACTTATATTGTCCTGTTCAGCCTGCTGCCACTGTCTTCCTTTCTGTCCTCTCTTCTCGCTCCTTGCTTTCCCTGCTCCTCTCTCTTTGGGCGAGCTTTTTCCGTTTGTCTCCCGGTTATTCCTTCCAGCTTTCCTTTTCCACTCCTTGCTTCTTGCATCATCACTATCTCCTTGATATCTTTCTCCACCTTAGTGATTGATACAAGGAGAAGGCCACGGAGCCTATCGACCAAAATACGTCGTCTTTCTTTTGATCGAATTTCGTTTCCTTGACAACCAAACATTGAGTTGCTTGTTTTTTAAGTTTCCTTTTTCGACAGGCGAGCATCAGAATTCTTCTTGTATGAAAACGAGCACACTGAGAGAAGGACTGATTAGTAATTAACTTCATGATTGTACTTTGATAGTAAACAAATCCTTCTCTTAGTACAACAACTAAAACTGTTTTGTATCAGATCCGTCGAAAAATAAAGGTTTTATTCGCAAATATTTTCTAAGGTCAGTTTCTTCGAGGTAGAAACAGAGTGTATTATTACGTTTTTTTTTAAGTGGTTAACTTTAAACGTTTATTTAAGGAATTCAGTTCGTCAAATCATTGTAATTTTTCTTTTTCTAATATAATTGGACTCAAAAACTACTAAACTCCGCTTTTATAAGTAAATAAAGTCATGATTATTGATTTAAAAAAAGGTTTAAATATTCAGTTGTCAATGCTGGTATTATTGCGGGCCCTTATGTATTATTGTGCACGTATTATTGTGGTCAATTTCAATGCTAAATCAACCAGGTATCCGCAATAATACCATCATAGGAAGAAAAGGTTACGTGTGCACTAGTTGCTGCAGACGTGATACTTTGTTACACAAATATAAAGTTTTTAAACTGAAACCCAATTAATTAGATACTCTATAACTTAATTTATTGATTTCAAGTGTTTACTCACCGCAACTCATCATCTTATTTTAAATACGGGCATTATTCGAAAGTTCCGTAATAACTGAAGCAACCGCAAGAATACCCCTCCAATTACCTCTAGTTCTTACTCTATATACCAAATTAACTATGCTGTGATCAAGATGCTTATGTGAGTCACAATGTATTACAATATTTTTTTTTTATTTTACACTATTTTGTCTGTTTTAGATATTTCAGTTAGAAATGCTTATTAAAAAAAAAAACTTATAATTTCAAAAATATTTGAATTAAAAAGTTTAACATGCTAAGAACAATGGGGCAAATTTCAATTTAATAGAAACATGTTTTAGGTCAAATAGTAAAGGAAATATGGTACAACTTGAGAAAGAGTAACTGCGAAATAACTCTTAAACTTAAGCATGAGGGAATATCGGCCTAGAAGGTATAACTCCCACAAAAAAGCACTACTCATTAGCCTGCACTTATAGAACTCCTTTTATCTGTCAACAAGGAAAAAAAATCACCGAGGTTAGGAAGATTATGGTGTTGGCCTTTGTTCCATAAGAACATAAATGAACTTTTATTTAAAAAAAAAAACCTGTACCTCTTTGTATTCAGTAGTGTAATGTGTTATTTATAGTTAAATAAAATAGATGTTCCTCACCTGAATATTTAAATTGCATCATGGCTTGTCACCGAGAACTTGTTGTCGTCAGGTGCATTGACATTAATTTGACCCTGTGCTTGAGCATATATATATTTCTATCTTTTGAAATGATCTAAACTAAAGCCCTATTACACGCACACGCTTACTTATACAAACACCCATTAGACTCGTGCCCCAATACCCAAACCCAACACCCCGGCGCACACGACCCTTTTAAAACACCCGTGGGACCCATCTTCGAACACCCAGAGACACGAGCTGATTTTTAAACGTCTTAAAGTTTGATGAACTCAATATAAGT